GATAGCTAATATTTACCAGCTGAGAGTCACATAAAATTATTATTGGCTAAAGAAAATTGTGATTCAAATCAGAAAAGAATTCAAAGGAATATATTGAATGCATCCAAATTTGAAAAAGAAAATTTAACTGAATCTGAAAAAGATATCCATAGCCACAAGCTCCCCTAGTTTTTTTTTTTTTTTTTTTTCCATATCTTCAGATTTGCATGTACTAGATCACTGAATCTAATTTATTTCAGTTTTAACCATTGCTAAGTAAAATGTTTTCCAGCAATAAATGAAATTTACTGAATTAATGAAAGTTGGAATTGTGCAAATTCCACGCCCTTACTTTCATTGTTTTTCAGCATAATTATTCTTTTCAAATTTTATTTGATGTGGATTATTTTAATTTGTTGTAGACATTTGTGGAATGTTTTGTAAAGGCTCATCCAATGTTAAGTTAATAATTTTATGCAAACAGTAGTACATACATTGCAAATTAATTTTATTTTCAATGTACTTGAAATATTTTTATTTTGTAAATGAAAGCTTTTCTTCCTTATTCAGGATTTTCTGATTGTAAAAGTGTAAGAAAATTCAAAATAAAATTAGCTGAAGAACATAAAATTTGAAATGTCTAATTAAATAGTTATATATTTTACACCAGAATTGTATTATAAATAGTTCAGTTATCTAGCTCCTGCATTATAAAGTGAATTACAAGTTCTTTTGAAATAAACATAGAAACCTTTTTGAAATTCATTCATTGTTTTCATGCAAGAACATTGTAATTTTCATATTTCTAGATTGGCGATTATAATATCAGGTATTATATGAAATTCTGACCCATTCCAATCTAAATTTAATTTTGCAACAAGCTTTTGAGTATGAAAACACCAATCGCTCATTAATTTGTGTATGGTGTCATTGTATTTGTATTTAAAGATAAAAAGAGTTTGTGTCTATCTCTTGAGTTTAAGAATTTTCATATGGGATATATGGGTTTTCAGGAAAGTCAGAGGATGTAATTTTATTTTGAGAGACAGTATTTGTAGAATTTGATACTGAATATCATTTTTGCTTTTTTATTTTTAGTCCAAAGGGGCCTTTCTCCCTGAAGGACTATTGTTTTCGTTTTGTGATTTTGCATTGGTTCACTATAAATGTCCATTTCACTTTTCAAACTGGTCCCGCCAAATGTGAGAGTCCTGCATTATATTTGAAGAAATTAAATAATGTAAAATCTGCATAAATGTATGTATATTTCTTGCATTGTGATAAAACAACAGTACATAGAGCGATCGAATTTTGAATGACATAATCTTACTGCAAATATGAGCATGTGGAAGCCAAAATTTGAAATTTGGAATTTGTTTTTATTATCAATTTCATATTTTTTAGATTTTTATCTTACCAAATTTTTGATTAACAAACTCGAGGATTTCAAAGCGAGCAATGGTAATGTTGTACAGAAAAAGCATTTTTATCTCAAGCGCGTGAGACTGCGTATCGGAAATTCTAAAGGGATTTGCTCAATTTAGAACTATTTTGTGATATTGCTCTTGAACTGAATTTTATGGTTTAAGTACGAAAAATGTGATATTTAATATATAAAGGTAACAGACAAAATGCTAAAAAAATGCTCCTTTAGATGTAATTTAAAATCTGAAATCTTTCAGGAGGTTTTTTTTTTTTTTTTTTTATTTATTTATTTATTTATTTTATTTATTTATTATTATTTTTAAGCCCAAAGGGTGTTAGCCCAGAAGGACTATATATTTCGTTTGGGCATTTTACGTTGAAAAATTTCCATTTCACTTTTCAAATTGTTGCCACCAAATATTATCGTCCTGTGTTACATTTAAAGAAATTAAATAATAAAAAATCTACATAATGGTATGCATGTTTTTAACATTGTGATAAACGGTATTTAGCACCACCAAAGTTTGAATAATGTAATCTTCCACTGAATTTGTTTTATTATCAATTTCATAGTTTGTAACACTTTAATGAGTTTTTGATTGACAATCTTAACAATTTCAAAACGAACACTGGCAACACTGTATGGGGTAGGGCATTTTTATCTCTAGCACGCGTGACTGTGTATCGGAAATTCTAAAGATGTGCTTTTTTAAAATTACTATGTGATATTGCTGTTGAATTTTATGGTTTAAGTGTGAAGAACATGGTATTTAATAAATAAAGGTAACACACAAACGTTAAAAAACAGGCCCCCTTTGGCGGTGATGTAAAATCTGAAAACTTTTTTTTTAATAGTCCTTTGATTTTATTCCAAAACACTAGGGATGATATTATCTCTTAAGTATTGACTTATATAGTTTGAGCTTTGAAGTAATATAATTTATTAAAGTTAATAATTTATGTAATTTAGTTTATCTTCAGTCACCATTAAATTTCTATTAGGAGAGCTTACTTTAATTTTGTTGTCTGGCACCAGTTGTTCAGTTGTCTCAGCATTCTTCATGATTCAACAATAAGGTTCAAATTTGCATCAACAAGCTTAAAAATTTAACTCCCCCCCCCCAATATAACAATTTCATTCTAGTGACATTTCTCTACTAACACCATACAATTTTTAAGGCCTAGAGACTTGCATGGATTTGTAACTAAGTTATTTGAACATTGCACTATTGTACATAATCCTAGGGTTAAAGTTAATAATTGTTTTTTACTAAGTTTGGTAAAAGTTTACTTAATCCAGTAAGTTTACTTTTTTTTGCTGCCCAACTAGTTAAGTTGACTTGGGTTGTTTATGACCTCATCCATTTTCCTGTTTTTCAGGAATTTCAAACTTCTTGTCTCAAAATACTGATTTATTTATTTATTTATTTATTTGAGACCTTGGCAGCTGGCCACTTTGTTTCTCTTTCAAGTTACATTTGCTTTCAGACTTGTTTTTCCCACTGGGGGTTGTTATTTTTTATTTACATGTGTTTTCTGTGCTTTTGATCTATTTCACATTAACCAACACTTATTTTTGTATCAGTTTGATGGCAAGTTTTTTAACAACTTACAATAATCAACTCTGTGATATTCCATTGTAGATATGCACTTGTATAATGTAGTTGTTTTGAGATTATTTAAGATTTTGAGATATCTATATTTGTCTTTGTTGGTTGGGTTCATGTATTTTAGGTTAGGATTTTTTTCCACCTTTAAATGTCATGCTTTATGTCATCATGGCTTATTTTGGTTGTTTTTTGGGTTGTGCATGGTTACAGTGTCTTTTTAGAGTTTTTTTTTTTTTGGGGGGGGGGGATTTGTTACTCATGTTTCTTTTTAACCCCCATTTGGGAGGGAAGTGTGTGTTAAGTTTTATTTACACAGGTAAATTTCATGGTTTTGCTTATTTTATTTTAAGAGTGAAAGTTGTTTTATTGTCAATCTTCCAGGGTTATTCTAACTTTTAGTAGTAGGTGATAGGTTAACTTCAATTTATTTGGTACAAGTTTTGGTTACCACTGTCCCCACGACTTAGAATGTAACTTACAAATAAGTTATTGTAAAGTCAAGGACTGTTGATTCTTTTTTTGAAATTCAGAACGAGGGAGAATTTATTGTGTAACAATGACCTAATTTGATTATTATTAATTTTAGTAACTGATTATTTTGTTAAACTGGTTAATTAAAAATTAATTGGAGCTTACTTAATTTTAATATTGTTAATTTTTAATGTACGATCTATTACGATTTTAATTTTTAACTAACATGAATTAATTTTAACATAATTTACTTCTGTTTGGTTTTTATGGTGGCTTGTTTGATTGACCTCAAGTGGGTAGCCTCATGAGAGCGAACATCACCCGCTTTTTAGCAGTACAATTCTTTTCACTATTTTATTAAGAGCTTTACCACATTCAAATGAAAAATTAGCTTAAATAAGAATATATTAAGAATTAATTCACAAATATTAACATTCATAAGTTCATTAAGCACTGTAAATTAATACCCAACTATTCCCGATTTGTTTTGTAACTGTTACATAATTTGATTATTATTAATTTTAGTAACTGATTAGTTTTGTTAATTTGGTTATTTAAAAATTGACTGGAGCTGAAATTTACTTAATTTTGATATTGTTAGTTTTTAACTTAAAGATGAATTTGTTTTAACTTAATTTCTGTTTGAAAAACTTAATTTAGTTCTGTTCGGTTTTACTGATGGTTTGTTTGAATGACGCCCAAGTGGGTAGCCTCGTGGGAACGAACATCACCTGCCTTTTAGCAATACAATTCTTTTTGCTATCTTATTAAGAGCTTTACTATATTCAAATGAAATGTGAGTTTAAATAAGAAGAATGTATTAAGAATTAATTCAGAAGTATTAACATTCATAAATTTATTAAGAACTGTTAATACATAACACTATCATTACACATTACTTTTTAAATAAATAAGGTAGCAGCTATAAATGATATAGTAATTATTAAGCCATAAAATTTATAAAAAAATTAAGTTTTATTAATGACTGATCAAGCGGAAGATTATAGTTTACTCAAAGCTCTTTGCTATTTTGCCATTTCCATGTCTTAACATGGAATTTGTGGGAGACCATGTGCTGGCCAAATCAAATGTTTTAGCATTGATTTCAGTGGAAACATTCGTTGCATTTTAAGAGAGAGGTTAGTGGACTAACTTTCTCCCTTCCTCCCCGCAGGCCCACTTGTGGCCAAGCAATAAAATCGCTAAACACTGCTAGTTCTGACCTGGGTTTGATCCAAGCAAACAGGCTATCTGCGTGGCTGTTTTCATGGTTTTCCCCATGTGTGATGTGCATGTGAGCCAGTTTTCCAAAGGAAGTTCTCCGCATAAGCATTCCCAGGAAGTTCTCCGCATAAGCATTCGCCACTAGCCAGAATCCTTAGTGTGCTTTCTCATAATCAACTAAACCTATAATTCTGTCTGTTGATATTAGAATGTTATAATCCATTTATTTTGTTTTCTCATATATTAATTTTGTAATATAATACTTATAATATTATGTGTTTGTCTTTTTAGGTTGTTGATGGTGTGATAACTGAAGATAATGATGCTTTCTTGTATGGTGCAAATGTTGTATTTCGAGATTTCAGTATTGATCCAAATGTAAGATGATTTTTATTTTAGGAATTTTGTATGTTTTTGGGGATGCGGACTTTAAGAAAACTCTGCTTGTATGTATAATACAATGTTCAAAATCTGAACCTCCAATATCCAAAGTTCTGAACCACCGGCACTTTTTTCATCAAAAATTATTTTTCCTTTACGAAGAATGAGAAATGAAATATTCAAAAAAAAAAAAAACAAGTGTGCCATAAAAGCAATCCCCTCTCAATTATATGAGATTCCTGTGCATTTCTTTTAAACATCTGCTGGCTAGAGAATCAATCGCATTGTGGTCAATGATCGTGCATTTGATTCATGTTTTATTGGATGTTAGTTATGACCACACTTTCGACCATTGACTAGTTCTGTGTAGTTTAGTTAGCATTTTTCTATCTAACCTAAATAATAAATGAAGCCCCAAGACATACTTGCTTGAAATGGAATGTTGCTCTTACTTTTGTTGTTGTTATTGAAAAAGCAGTGGAGAAGAGAGAAAGAGTTATATTCCAAAAAATTTAAGTTCAGTTAACATAGTAAACAGCATTCTTCTTTCTAATATGATCCAGCTTATTATTTTTGTAGGCTACCATTTCTAAGATTCTGACAAGTGCTAAAGCTGCAAGAACACACAAATGTAAACTTTTTGGAATTAGACAAAATACATGACCTTTGGTTCATTTGTTGGTCAAATAAAAGAGTATGGATGACAAGTATTGATGAATGATAGGTTCAAAAATCATTTCATACCCAAGGTTTGGCAGCATTTGAAATTGGTTAGTTTACTGGATGATGGGAAAATTGTCTTTAATTATAGGTGGCTGTTCATCTCATACTTCACATAAAAGTTTTAGTAAAAGATAATGTGTCTGTTTTATTTTTTCTACTAAATTGTACTTTCATCATTCAGCTATTGGATATCAGTGTTGGATGTGATGAAATGCAGATACCAAGTAACCTTTTTAAAATCTATTCTAAATTTTCTGAACAGCAACAAGACCATTAAAGAATTTTGGAAAAATTTTAATGCAAAATGGGCCGTATAGAGTATTGCAAATTCATTGGAGAACATGGTTTGCAAATATTTTGAAAAGTGCATTTAACATAAATTGTGACCAACTGCTATATTTCAGGGGGATGATGATGATTGTGAATTTGATGGTTTTTAGATATTATAGCAAAAGGCAAAATTTTAAATTAATAGAGTTTGTGAAGAAATGTAAAGAAGTGAAGATGATGTAACAGTTTTCCATTGCAGTGACAATACCCCAATCATTAATCAATAAACGAATGGCAAAATCTATAGTTTGGTTTTAAATCTGGGAAATATCACTACTGATAGTACTGATAAAAAGGCTTTTGAAAATTAAACAATTTTGATTGTGGCAATTACAGTATTTGAACAATGTAACTGAACAAGAAATTACGCCTGTCTATAGTATTAAAGAGAAAGTATTAACACAAATCGAAATGCTTAAAACTTATATTGAAAAAAAAATGTTTAGTAAAACAAATAAATAAATAATGAACCTTTTCATTTTCTAAATATTGAAGGGAAAAGAATTCGTAATTAGTCAGTGAGATAGATTGAAGTTCATGTTTGTTTTCTGCTAGTTGTAGAATTATTTTCAGACTTCCAACTGAACAAAACAGATAGTTTTTCAGAACTGTAAGCTAAATGACTCACAATCTTTGCCTGCTGTTTACTAGAGCAAAATATTTTTCTTTGAGTATTATCATCTAATTTAAAAGAATATTGTTTTGTTGAAATTTAAAAAAAAAAGTTGTGTTAAAATCTTTAATTAATCTGCATTTTTTTAATACCTAGCATCCTTTCTTGGCTTAGCTGGAAGAAAAAAAAAAAAAAAAAAAAAAAAAGGTTCAGAAATTTTATGAAATGACTACTATAAATTTTTTCCAAATGACTGAGTTTGTCCTCAAATATTTGAACACAGTATTTCTTAATGTAAAATATTTATTTAGATATAAAATTCATAACAAAAGCTTGTTAGATCATGCATACATACAAAGTGTAATGCATGTATGCAAAGTTTTATTTTACATGCATATGCAACTATTAATATTATATCAAAATCTGTTTCTACTTCTCTATATATATTTTAATATCTGTTTCCTATCTCTTTCTTTTGACTGTTGTGTTTTTGCATTAAACATGACAAAAAAAATCGAACTATATATTAGCTGGCTTCTTCCTATCCTTTTGACTTTTGTTTTTGAAATTTTCTATGGTTCAGACTTAAGAAATAGAGAAATTTTTAAATTTTATAAATGAAGTTTGTTTTCTTCTTGAATTCATATGATATTTAGTTTAACATTTTACCTTTATTTTCCCCCAAAGGATTCCCATGTAAACCTGTACAGATTAAATTCTAGCAGAAACAAATTACATTTGAATCAGAGGAAGTTAGTTGCCCTGGCTTTGCTTTTAGGATGTGACTATTTTAAAGGTGTTCCTGGAATTGGCAAAGATGCTGCTGTGAAATTACTTTTTGAACTTCAAGATACTGATATTCTTCAAAGGTAATATCAAATGTGAATAAAAATGCAATAAAAATACTCATTTTATGTTTGTATTATAAAATGTAATTGATGTAAGATGGAAAATAAATTTTATTAGTCCAGGATGGCAATGCAAAGTTAAAACTAAAGCCTAAAATAGTTTTTAAAAATTTTTTTAATTAAATGCATAGAAAGTGTTTATAAAAAACATGAAAGGAGTCATATTTTAACAGTTTTCATAAAGGGCTCTTCTAAAATTTAACTGTGTAACAGTTTTGTCTGTATGTGGTATGGGCATCTCATTACCAAAGTTTTAGTTTTTGATAGGTACTCAGCATCTCATTTCCAAAGTTCTAGTTTTTCATAGATACTGGGATCTCATTCAAGTTTTAGTTTTTGTCTATTGTATAATATTTATTGTAGTTTGCTTTTCTTGCTTCTGGATGGCATTAGCTGACTTCAAGAACAAATTTGTAGGGTTTTTCTTATTCATAGTGAAACATCTGCTTTCTTACAGATACGTTATGTTGTACTTGCTACACATAATGCTTAGTGAAGTTTTATTACAAATTAATAAACTTTTATAATTTTATTATTAAAAGCATATGAAATAGCTTTTATTTATATCATTGTAATCTTCATGTTTCAATTTTTGTTTGTTCCTTCTTTTAAGACCATACTGAGATGAAATATTAAGTTAAAGCTAAAACTACCAAATATGTAATAAATACAAAATGTAAAACTATGTAAATGTAAAATATTATTTACTACCTACTAGTATTAAAAAAGAGGCCAATATTACAGGGGTATTTTATGTAAAATAAACTTACTGTTCATGCTTACCTGTATGTAAAAAGGCCATGTTATAGAGGTAACTGTATTTTTTTATGTATAAATGACTTTTTTTTTTCCCTGGATAATTCATCTAAAACATAATTTTCTTTCAAATTTTGTAATTACAAAAGTGGACAATTTTTGGCAGGTTTTCTGAAATGTATTAAGCTGTCAATTGTTTATGTGATTTATCTGTAGAGACTATCAATTGAGATTGCCCAGGTAAAATAGCAAAACATTTTATAGAATAGTAGATGATTAAGTATTTAGACTAACTTGAGAACATTATATATCTTCTATATATTTATTTGTAAAATGAAAAAATATATAGTGTAATTCCAAAAAAAGATGTTTAATGTTTTAAATTAGGTGTATCATGAATTAAATATATTTTTATTTTAATCAGTCAGATGAGAAAGTATGAAAATAACATTCTTAAGAACTGCTTCTATTGCTTTTAAAGAGCTTAGTTTGTTCAGTAACAGACAAAAACTTTTGCATTTTACCACATGGCAGTAGAAGTGAAACAGTTTATTTACAGTGGACAGTATTTAAAGTGAATCAAGGCATAAACATGTTTTGAGACTAATAGCCTTTTTTGTCTAATAATAATAGATACTTAAAAGCATGAAGTAAATAAAAATAAGTCTGCTGTGTTTCTCCCCCTTTTCTGTATTAATTTCTCTTATATGTCCTTTTCCTCTACCCCCGTTCTTTTAGCCTTGGTTTGAAATTTTCTGGTCCCTGTATTTTAATCCGGTATGTTTGATTTTATATATTTCATATATGTGTATATTTGCTTATGTTCAACTGCTCGCTACTTGATAAATTTTGAGTGCTTATTTTCTACAACTGCATACATATTTTGATGTGTTATATATTAAAAGTATTTCATATTTACAAAAGTGTTGAAGAACTAATTACCTTCTCATTCTGCCTTTTATTCCTTAGCATCATTAATGTTTGATGATTTCTTATTCTGTTCAGATTTCATTATTCTATTTATCTTTACGTCGATTTTAATCTTTTTTGATTGTTCCATTTATCATTAAAGCATGCAGATATTTCTTTGCGTATCGTTTCATGTTTTGATTTGTTTTTCGCCATGTGTACAGTAAATGGGAGCCAATTTTCTTAGAAAGACCTCTATGAAGACATTAAGCAAATAGCTCTTCAGTGCTTCGCCATAATCTAAATAATCCATTCATGGTTGTTAACAGTGTGTCAGTTTTTTAGCATTACATTCACATCATTAAATGCAGTGCATTGGATAAACAGAAATAGGAGATTTTAAGCTCTGACTAACCTGTTTTCTTTATTTATATATAATGCTCTTTTTGCCCCATGGGTGTAATGCATCACCTAAACATTTTATAAATCTTATGGGCAGAAGAAAAAATTTTAAAATGCTAAACAAACTCTGAACATATTATGGATATTTACATGATTTTTAAGTTTTATGTATTACATGCTAGTAATTGTATATATATTTCATTGTATTTAAATATATTATTGTGTGTATATTTCATTGTATGTTAGTAATTGTATGTACCATATTTGCCCACATATAAGATGCACTTTTTTCCTAGAAAATAGGTCTGAAGAACAAACAGGTCTTATACGTCGATATTTCATTTCTGGAAATTTCCTCTATTCAGAGTTATGCTTTTTTTTTTTTTTTTTTTTTTTTTTTTTGTTTCCTTGCGGAGTGTAGGGATATTACAGTTACATTGAGTTCAGTGAAAGCACATGCGATGTCATCGATGATCACAGCTGGGTTCATTAAACATTCCAATTTTTGTGAATGGCTTTTAAGTGTGTGAAATTTCTACTGTTCAATTTTCTTAAATTTCTTGGCAAGGTATGGCTCAAAAACAACATCATCGTTGCTATAACATGTCATATAAACTACATGTGATTGCGTATGCTAAAGAACATGGAAACTCTGGATGGTACATAGGACAATTTGTTGTATGAGTACTCAGATGTTGATTTAGAAGAGGTTTCAACTGACTCTTCATTTAACTCTGGTTTCCCAGATAAATTGGGTATTTGCAAAAAGTATTTCTTCACATTTAAAATATTGTAAATGTGTAAATTCATTATAATGATCAGTAATAAAGTTTTATCCTTTATCTTGTGTGTGTGTGTAGAGGCAAGAATAGGGTGTAAATATTCCAAAATTGTATATTAAATAATCATGTAGAAATAAATTTTATACACAGGGGAACAAAGAAACTTTACAAATTAGCTGTGTTGCATGCAAACAAATGGCAGCAGAAGGTTATCTTAGCAGCCATCAGTTTTCATAAAGCAGTATGATAAGAAACATTATTCATTATATTAACATCAGAATTTATTAAGTAGTGTTTATATGATCATAAGTATGTAATAGTCTGAAGTTGCATTAGACATTGAAGACATTTAGAAGCCTTAAAAAAGCAGGGTGAGAAGAGTTTTCGGAAAATGGGTGCAGAAAAAAAAAAAAAATGTTGGAGATTTTAAAGAGTTTCACTAGAAAATGGGTTAATGACATTGACAAAGAAATCATATCAACCCATTAAAATATTATGACAGTCCAGAAGGAGAAGCTTCCTTTAAGCAAGAAAAGATACTGAAATTCCACAATGGGTCAAAGTGTTGGATTGCAAAACATAACCAGATAATCCTCTTTTAACCTTTGGTGGAATAGGAATGATGAACTTGGAAGAAAAATTTAGACTTTTTACAAATCCTAAGGGGCTTCTGAGAATATCAAATTATGAAATCTTATGTTTCTTTTAAATGTGATGTAGAATGTCCCAGTTTTAACAAGTGAGTGTGAACATGAGTTCTGAATGATAAATTTAATAGTCACAATATTAGTTAGTATATGTAAATTCACAGTTATAAAAGGACGGCTTCTCATACTATAGAAGAGCAAGCTGAAGAATTGGTAAGATGTTAGTGAATGCAGCCTTATGCCAATCTGAAAATTATTGTGAACTGTGCAGTATGAGGAGCAATAAATGTTCTTGGCAAAAACATTTGTCCATTGACTGCATTTATTTTTTCCAGTTTAAACTTTAAAATGATAATTTTTTATAGTCTCCCACCACTATATACAGGATTACCATTATACTATATTATACTTTATGATGTATTATTATTTATTATCAACTACTTCTGTGTTCAAGTTTATTAAAGACTTTTTATTAGCAGCGATAATATATTCATGATATGTATATAACCTTTTCTTAACATCTAGGTTTAAAGATTGGAAACAGTTAAGCGAATCTGACCTTTTTCCTGGATATGATTCAAAACCACTTAAGAAATCAACTCATTGTAGTCGATGCAATCATACTGGTAATAATCTACTTCTGTTTTTTACAATTTTGAAATGCATAATTAATTTAACTATAACTAAAATGTGTATTATGCAGTCATCTAACCTAAAATTTTGTTTAATAAAACTAGGTTAATTATTAAATGTAATAAGAAGAGATGAGAGGTTAAAAATTTCAGCTGAAAATGTACATGATTAAATTCTAGTTCTAATAAAATTATATGAAGAAAATTAAGAAATCAAGGTCACTTTTCTTTCATATAAAATTTAATGTATGTATTAAAATCTACCTCAGACTTTTATTGTAACAAAATTACAGAAGCCTGCTGTAAAAGCAAGAAGTATTATTGTAGGTTAACCCTGTTTGTGCAGGAAAAGAGTTCTGCTTAATGGAACTATAAGTACAATCTCCAGGTAGCCTTTTGCAACTGTTTGGTTATCTGGAGATGTTACAGAATAATAAGTTTTTAATTATACATGCAAATTCCCACTTCATTTATTTATTTAAAGAAATTAATCCATTTGTTTACCAATGTGATTGCCTTTTAATTTTTACAAAAGCACTTTGTGAACAAATTAATAGAAATCATTAAATATAAAAAAGCATAAACACAGTATCAAACTTCTAAAGTAGTGAAAAATTAATTTAATTTTACTGTACCTTTTCAAAGCAAGTGTATGAAGAATACAGCATCAGTGAAAATCATGAGAAAGATATTGTTTGGATATGAAATTTTCTTCCATAAAAACATCAAAAAACTCTAAGCGGCATCTACTTTTATCTTTTCTTTGTCTCTAAGCCCCACTCTACTCTGTTTGAGCTTTGCTGGACCTCTTTCACTCAAAATTTGTGCAGTGTGATTTTTTGTTGTTGTTGTTTCCTACATTTTAAAATGTTTAAGGTGAGACATGGCATCATCATTAAAAATGCTCATGCTGTAGCTTGCTATGTTTTATCGAAATGATATTGTTATATAAAATATTTTCATTTTACCCCATTTTGCACAGATTTTATGATTTAGAGAACAAGGGTTATTCTTCTTTCTTTCTCATCAAAAGCTATTTCTTCCACAACTGCCTTTCATAGCCACTTCTAAAGTTGTAATTCTTTCTTGATGAGCTCATTTTTATGATCCTCTAGTTTAGCCTTTTCGCGACGGCGCACCTTTGTTTGAGACGCTCGTGCGGGATGGAAGGAAATCGAAGACAGTCACCGTACAGGACGGAGGTTTTGCATTGCAAAGCCTAATTTTATAAAAAAATCAGAAAAAAAAAAAGGTTCGCTTCTAACATCATAATTTTTTGTATCATTTTAGATTATTACTTGAGCTCTTATATATGTTAAAATTAGCACCTAATAATGTTTTTTTCTTTATTTTACATGAAAATATACATAAAAAATTGCTTAATTTGTAAAATAATTTTTGGAAGCGCTATTCAAATTATTCCAAAGTTTTAATTGATAAAATCTATCAATAAAGTTTTAAATTAATAAAACAACACAATAAAGACTATTTACAGTGAGAAGTAACAAAATTTAAAATGAAGACTGTGGTAAATCTCGAAGCACGGAGAAGTATCACTTTCTAACTCTTTAGAAAATGAATCATCACTTTCATCTGCGTTAATAAATGTTTCATCGATCATAAGAGGGTATTCTTTCTCTGATAAATAGCGCCTTTCCACCATAATAGACTGGAGGTGAGGCTTTACAAAATAAAAAGAGAAGAAACGGAAATATATCTGAAGGGCAATGCGAAACGTAATAATACTCCACATACTAACCCTAAAAGACCGTACATAGTAAAGGAATAAAAAAAGGAATTGGATATAAATCAGACACACGAATATTTTCATTAGCATGCAGCAATTTAAAGAGCTTGCCTCTGTTTATGCTTTCTCTTCCCCCCACCCTCGCAAGAGCTGATGAGTAAAATACCAAAGTCAAGCAGAATATATCAAACTCAAGGTCATGAACTTAAAACTGTGTTCATTTCAAAAGTAATGGACATAGAATGCTATCTAGTGGCCTTCAGAAAAACGTTCCAGTTTAAAATGCGTGTACGCCGTCCTCTGAATGCAATCTCTAGCGATGCGTGGATGGGACGCCCATCTTGAAGGGGTTAATTCTCCACATCTTGATTGTGAACTTCCTAGCCCATTATTTTGTATAAAGATACAATATCATTGATAATAAAACAAATCCTTCCCCCTGCAAAAAATAAAGATGGTGTAGTTGTCAAAGTGCTCAAAATTCTGTGCCTGCAACCCAACCTGGTCATAATATCTTCCAAGCTGAAGCCATGATCTTTTAAGTCATTTACTTCTAGGCTTAGTTAATCGGAGATAAGCAATGGAAAATGTTAAAATATTTTCAGGAGGCCGAGTGTCAATTACGTGGCATACGTTAACACAAAACACCTTCAAAAGTCATATATATTGCCAATTTAAGTGTTTAAAACTTCAAGCACTGTTCATTATCCAAAAGCGGTCTTTTTGTGTGTGTGTGTGTGTGTGTGTGTGTTGTTGTTGTTGTTGTTTGCTTTGTGTGTATTCTGATAATTTATTTGTTCATGAAATGAGGCCATGATCTGAGTTTCCACTGTATTTCAAAAATGTGATTTTATTTTAATAATGTAAGTTCACTAAGTCAACCTGGAATGATCAATATTTTTAAAAGCATTCAAATGATGTTGTTTCATGTAGAAATACATGACAATATAAAGCAGTTGCTGTATCACATACATAAGGCAGATTAATTGTAATTGTGATATTTGATGTTGCTGCACTATTTTGTGGCTTCCTAAAGCGTCAGAATGGTATTTCACAAGCCTCTGTTCCCAAGTGATTCAAGAAGTAAAGGACAGTACAAAGTCTGAAATCCGAACATAGAATATCTGAAATGATCCAAAATCCAGACCTCCCCACCACCAGCACTTTTTTCTTTTTCTTTACTTTTTTTTTTTTTTTTTTTTTTTTTTTCTATGCTTAATGCTTCACACATGCGCATTCAATATTTTTTCATAATAAAACATGTGGTGAGTACTGATTCTTGATTTCATTTTAGTACTTATTAACATAAGCCTCTATGATCAATAATTTGGTTCAGTAGCAGCCTTTTTGCTCATGGTATGACTATCAAGTGTGGCAGCTTAAGGAGTGTAGTAACATTTTACGTCGACATTATTGCTTAGCGATAATTACACACTTCAGCCAACTGTGCTATGAAGTGATGAGTGTGTTGCCAAGAAGAAAATTTATTAGAAATTTCTTTCTATATGCTACAAAATATATTTTGTAAATGATACTCATTGGCCAAGAGATTACATTTAGTGATGTTTGAAAGTAATAGTAACTGATTTGTTATTCAGATAAGCTGAGGGCAAGTGAGATGGCAAAATTTCTAGAATTTAGAGAAGCACCAAGCAACAAATTTAAGGAATGGCCAAATCTTTAGAATTTAGGGAAGCCATTAGGATGCAAATTTTAAAGGTGGTGAAATTTTTCGATTTTAGGGTGGCGCCTGGCAGCAGAACTTAAGTTTAGATTTATTTATTTATAGCAGAGAACTTTAGAATGCAGGGATGCCTTCATGGAGAAAGAATACTTACTCATATACATGTTGCAGATGGGGAAAACTGCAGTAATGCACATGCAGCCAATTTGTTCACTTGTAATCGAACCCAGATTAAGCTACCAATGTTCAGGGTGTGGTGTATTTAATTTTAGCAAAGCACACTAGGGCTATCTGCCTAAGGGAAGGGATGCCTTTGTGGAGGACTTTCTAAGGGAAACTGGCTTGTAAATACGTTACACATGGGGAAAACCACGAAAACAACCATGCAGCCAGCCCGTTCGCGGGATTCGAACCTCGGACCGAACTACAAGTGTTCAGCGACTTTACCGCTCGGACGCTGGTGGGCCCCAATGTTCAGGGAGTTTACTATTTGACCTGTGGTGGATGGAGAATTTCTGACCTGCAGAGATTGAACCAGGTAGCAAGGTGTTTTGCACCAACCTTTGATAAGCCTTAAGTATGTACGGGCATTTAGAAAACCAATTCAGAAAGCAAGTACCGTTTGCGCAGATCTCATATGCATCTGACAACACATTAGCTGTGCATGCATATTTACATTGTTCAACTCAATGAATTAGCCTATCTATTTTGTGTGTTTATGTTAATGTTTGATGTCATTGTTTATTGGTAGTGATGTTTAAACCAATAGATTAGCTCACTAAATGTGAAATTAGAGCTTTTTTGAAGTTTTTAATGGGAGAAATGTTTGACCTTCTGAAATTTATCATCAGATAAGTGAAACTTACAAAGAGAACTTGATGAGTGAAGGTATGGTGTGAAAGTGAGTTAGGATGTTTAATGAAGGAAGAGAAAATGTCCACAATTAGGAGTACAGTGGACACCCATTGTGGATCACCTAAGAATTAGTGCTCTGCATTGATGAAAAAGTTTAATAGGCGATTTATGGTATGTGATTTGTGATTGCAATTTCAAAGCATTTCACGATCTTTATTACATGAAATTGTAAATGAAGCAACCTTTTCTTCAAGTATATTGTTACGAAATGTATGATAAGATGGCTTCCCCGCAAAGCAGTTTTAGAGTTGCCATAAAATGGCAAGGGAAGGCAGGGTTGCCACATTTGGCGACAAAATTGGCGATATGCCATGGACGGATGGAGAACCTTCTGGAACGAATTCTTACCGGTTTAGCCCAGAATGTTCCCGAACACAAGCTAAAAGCTATATAAACCCTGCTGGTCCGCAGTCAGTTAGTATGTGTCTCTCATCGAGAGTGTGTCTCGTCTAGCGAGTCAATCGCTGCAGAGGCGATCAAGTTGACAGCCGGGCAGTGAGTTCCGAGTGGGTCATCGAGTTCACCGAAGGAGTCTCTTAGTGCATCGTCGAGAGAGCGTGTTGAGCTCCGGGAACGACTGAACCAAAGAGTCGAGAGCCGTGATCTGTGTGTCGTCAAGTGCATTGCGAGTTGTAGCGTGGAGAGTCT